TGCTATGCAAGATTTTGAAAATATTTTCTTGACTAATATACATCTGGATTTTATTCGGAAAAAAGTGGATGAGCAGATGACCTAACAGAATTGTTAACCGGAAAGATAAATTGTCTCTCTTCTGGCTTTAGGGCGTTGTCTCCTCTGTGATCCAAACAACCGCCTTTTCTATACACATAACTAAAAATCGCAGAATAGTCTGGGCTTAGAATGCGAAAAGCGTTACCTATCGATACGCATTGATGTTCCATCCGACTCGACCAAATTTATTTAATTTTCGGATCAGGTCGCTTGAAGAGTGATGAAAATGTTTAGGTCTAAGTCAAATAGAACCTTCGGGGATAAGCTTATGAGGTACAAATTCTCTGTTCCAAAGTTCATAAGGCCGAATAGATTTTGTTATCTACCCATTGATTTCTACCGTGTCACATGAAATATCTTACACTGCTAGAGGTATTTACAGACACCGAAATCATATCATGTCTCAAAACAGTGCCGAGCCTAGACCAAAATCCATAGTCCACATTCATGTGTACCCGTAATCCGACTCGTTGTTGGAGCTAGCGTCGTGGATAAAAAGACAACCTGTGGCAAGGTGTCAGGTACAAATACATAGTGTGCTTTTATAAACATGAGGGTGATGAGCACTACTCAATCGAACTGTAATTCCGGTCGATCCCGATGTAATCTGGTAATGGGTACAGACACACAATTTTCATACCGGAGGTCGGAGTTTGAAGAATTGGACGGAGTATTAACTATGGCCTTGGGAGCACAAAATTGCAAATTGATGTGTCAAATTGTGTACGATTGACTTGGGAGAACTAAAAAAAGCGAATGAAGGTGAAATCCATGCTTGTTTCGGACTTAAACATGAAAAAGTACCACACAATATTCTACTATTATCTCTTTAATCAAGTTTCAGATTGTTGGTCATCGTTAAGGGCTTTTAAACAATTTCGTACATTCATGTCGTTGCATATTGATGAAGAAAAATAACTCCATAATTACCGTTCATTGCTATTGCGTAAATACCGAAAGAACTACTTGCAAACACTTGCGACACACTCCCATTAAACAGTATATCTATTGACTTTAATTTCCTCCATTTGATTTTCTCCAGAACCTAACTCATACGTCATAGGTTTGGTCCTCATTAGTAACAAAAAGACATTCTTGAGTCTGGAACTGATACCCATTTTCGGAGTACAACACTTTGACAATCAGTGTAGTGTACCTACGTACGTAAAGGTATGATCGTTCAGTAAACAGTTCCGACGAATGACCAATCTATGGTGCTCACTGACACAATTGAGGAACGTCTCCGATTCCCGCAGTTAGTTGATCGTAAATCATTTGGAGAGCTACACCAATTTTTTTCATTGATGAATAGATCATTTTGCTGGATGGGATTTAAACACACACACGGACGATGCTTGCATCGTTTTCTCCCTAAGACACATGAGCCTCGAAGCCATATCCAAACCTCCAGTCACTTCACAATGGCCTTCATAATTTCTCGTTTGTTAAATAAGTGTTTAAACGTGACGCCATCAGATCGGGAGGTATAAAGCTTTCTAGTTTTTTTCAAGGTCACCGCTTCTACCATCTCGAAATGTCCGCTGGAAGAAGAATGACTGTATTTGCAATTTAACACCCTCAAGAAGCATATCGCTTTTGATTCTGTTGTGCAAGAACATCAATTATGAACTTGTCTCACTTAGTATACAACAACTTCAGCTCGACAACATGTGTCAATTACCGAACGAACATTTATCCAAGTACGCTTGGTGACTGATGTCAATATTTTGAATTAGGATGACTAAACTATGATTTAATAAGATCGCTTGATCAGTTGATTTGATCATTTCAGCTTCCGAATTGGCTGTGCCTATGCTGAAACGATCTAATATCATGTTATTAATGATCAAATAAGTCCTGCCCTCTTACACACTGGTTACGTCAGATTGCGTTGCAACGATGTAGATGTATCAGACAATGTTGCTGCATTTTAGTTACCTCCTCATTCTCCCTCGCCAAGGAATGTCCCACCCCCACCTCCCAAACCAAATCCACAATGATGGACCATCACTGATTGAGTGGTCCGGAATTAATCAGTTTATATCTTACCGTAGTACATCAAGTTGTATCTATCACCCATCCATTTAAATTGAGTTGGAAGCCCAGAAAACTTTGGTAAGTCACCAATATTTTGTGTGATTTCGGGGTTCTATATGCCAAGTGGTTACGTGTACATCTTTAATTTATGGGAAATTTAGATTGCAATCCAGTGAGCAATAAAGTGTTTAAAATTGTATTTACCATGCATAATTCATAATTAACAGTTCAGTAGTAGTAGTAGTCCTTACTGAAATTGTCTAGGTAGAGGCCAATTTGTGTTGTTGTCTTGAACTGCGAAAATTTCGTTAATATTTGCTATGCTTGTATCTTGTCTATCAGTTCTATCAGTTTCCTAATGCACAGTATTTCTGTTGCAAGCATCTTTCTGTTTCATTATTATTATTATTATTATTATTATTATTATTATTATTATTAATGTTCCGAGAATACGGAAGTAGAAAACCTTATTATATTTAAACAAATACTGAGGTATTATTACATGAAAAACAGAGATTGCTAATTTTGAACTTGAATGCTGTGGCATAATACATTTTCTTCACCAGGCTGTTAGGTTGTTTCCATATCGTTATTTACAGAGGGCCGAGGCAGAGTTTTCTGGTACTCCGTGTGTTTGATTGTTATTCGTACGTTTCCCGATTGATATCTTCTTACCTTATGGATGGTGCCTTGAAGAGGATATGCTGACTTCGTGATGATTATGGAATTTCATGGGAGTTTGGTACAGTAGATGTATCCAGAGACTCTTTCCGTTTTTTCATGAGGGACACATTTCTCACCTTTACACAGCCAAGTGCGGAATGAAAGGCAGTAGTGTATCGGTGCATGGTTGCCGGTGACTCCATGTGATCTCATTCGCCATTCGGTGGATATAGCTGCAACCCAGGGGCACATGCATCCCCGTTAGTTATTTAGGCTTCTTTCACAGCCGTTGGCAGTAAATTTCGTACTTCGGTCCAGGATGGAGTCTGCGGTCTCACCAGGGTCATTTGATTTTGGTTACCCTCAGCCTGGTTGAGATCTCCTCTCGAATGTTTTGTCGGAGTGTTGTGGCTGATGCACGACGAGAGAGCTTCGTGGAGCCATAGATGAGAGCTGGGTAANGACCAAAGTGGAGGAGGATGCCCCAGGAGGACACGAGAATCAACCAACTCCTAGGTGCTACTCCTATCAGTTTGACCTTAAATGGCAAATTTTCTCGCATTTATATCAACGATCACTAGCTAATGATGAGATTGGATGGGTTGGTTAATTTATCGATTTGACTGATTATCCATCCAATTTCATTTTTACAAATTATATTCAGTTGATTGCGGAAACCGTGCACTCAGAAAACAATATAAACCCGATTTTTTAGTATATATTAGATTGCATTGTCAATGCACATTTGTCAGACCGTTCGGGACTAGCACTCAAAACATTTCACACGGAAGGCGTGTATATCACCGGTGCACAACAATACTCGGAACTGGGATCGAGTAACGTGTACTAAAATTCAGAATTCAGTAACAGTCGTTCAGTCCAGTTTGCCCGACGTTTTCAAAGATTGATTTACTGTAGAGTATGAGTCGTCAGTACAGACATCCTAACTTTGTTGTTTTAAGGCTAGCTGTCTTGTTTTCAACCTCCATTCAAGAATTTTCGTATTTGTTGGTAAGTGTTCAAACTCTGTCTATGAGATAGCTCCTAATCGCATTTGATGAAGGGTATGTTGCACTGGTGAAAGTTGGTGAGGTACCAAACTAGCAACTGGTCTATCCGAGTGTATGTTCATTCGGATGGAAATAGGGCGGTGCGCGCAAATGAAGTCTGATGAATCGGAGACTGAATTAGGAATATCTCTCAATACTATACTTGTAAGTAGTAATGCACTATTGCGGTGTTGTTTACAACATTTGACTAATCTTGTCATCAGTTACTATTCTTTTTCGGACCCGTTTCTCCTATCTATCAAAGAAATTAAATTTTGAGAACCTGATGCTGCAGGGTTAAAAACAGATTCGAACTAGTAGTTTGGTAAGCCAACACACAATTGTTTTAGAAAAAAGTTAAAATTTAAGTTCTTTTTGTGGGAAAAATATCACACTGAAGCTCATTGAATCCCATAGAATCTTAACCTATTGAGTTTGGATCATAGTAAAACTAAAATAATCGATCAATGAACGAACACGTTAAACCTAGGATGTCGATCTTTAAGGTGTTTTGGTGCTTCATTAAGCTGCGATTTGAACTACAGGAATGCCACGGGCTTTATAATGAAGTTAGGGGTTTATTTATCGTTAAAATGCATCGATGAAGGACCATAAAAGGAAGTGTGAGTTCATTCGCCGGTGTATTAGGTGCATAGCCTATTGGTTGTGAGCAAGTATTGTCAGCCGGACGAAGATGGTGATTAACTGAGCAAACGTAGAAGAGGATAAATGTGAGTTATTGTTCCGTTGCTCTTGCTCCGCAACTCCCCTCGTGAACTCGTCACCCTCACTCTGAGCTCCCTCCTTAGATGCTTCCTCTTATATTTGTTTTTTTAATGGAGAGGAGACACTGTGAGATTCGGATTGGACGCGAGAAGTGGTTGATTTGGTAGTCAGAATCAACAATCTAAGTTGGAGCAAATGGAATAATAAGCACCATGCGGAGTGCGATTAGGTGTTTTGCCTTTGATGAGTTTGGTCGTGTTTTCCAAGGCTTGTAAGTGTGATTGCGTCACATGTGTGCATTCAGATTAAAAACTATGGGCTGCTGTTTGACGGATATTAAATCACATTTTGTTTTTGTTTACTTTCTCATAACACCCCCACCCAACCCGTCAACTTCGCACAAATTCAGGCACTTTCTGGTACTTTACTGATATTCATGTTGACATGGAAAATGTGATTCAGAACTCGAGCGACTATTGGGGTTCGTACGAGAAGGATACCAGTACGTTGGTCGCATTCACTGGAATAGAAAAGGGAAACGATGAGGGTTACGCGGAAAATCAACCGGATTTTGTGATATTTGGTGGGTAAGTTTTTACGTCATATACGATGCAGCCCGGTTCCAGGTTCGTTTACAGTAAATTTGAGTGCACACTGTGAACATCAGTTCATCGCTTGTGTACAGTTTGATAGGAATGAGAAATAATAAAAAACGGAGAGCTTCCAAATACGATGAAAATGTTAGTGCTAACCAACAAACAGCACTGGACAGCTGTTTCGTCCTGGTTGGGACTCGTCAGTAGTGCGTTTTTGTGTCCTTTCCAGGACTCGAGCCGCGATCACTCCGGACAGTCGGGACACTGTAGTGATCGTCGACCGTGTTGCTCATGGGTAAGGTTTGAAGTCCCGACCCGACTGATCGCGATTAGCGTCCTGACAGGGACACAAAAAGCACGCACTGCTGACGAGTCCCAAACAGGACGACACAGCTGTCCAATGCTCTTTGTTGGTTATCACAAACATTTCCATGGTATTTGAATGCATACAAACAGTGGAGAATTAACGATCTCCCAAGGAGTGAAACCCACACCAAAGACCATCAAGAGTGTCTGGTACCTCTGAACAATCGAATGGGCTAATCTAAGCTTGATACTCAAAACAACGGAGAGC